ACCTCCACCACCATCGGCCCAGATCAGTTTCCCCAGGCGGAAGGAACCCTGGGCCCTGCCCTGGAGAGGCTGGCTGTTTAAAAGTCCCAGGATACTGGGCACAAACACCTCGCTCACACGCCAGACCCCAGCTTCCCTCCTAAGGTCTCTGCCAGCTACCTGGCCTCTCTAGGAGGCTGCCTCTCTGTCCTCGCCATGGGGATGACAGTAACAGCCATCTGTGGGCTGTGGAGACAACTAGAAAAAACTGAGCCATTGGAAACAACAGGCATCAGCTGGATGTGTGTGTGGGGGGCTGTAATCCCAGCACTCTGGGAGGCTGAGGCAGGAGGATCACAAGTTTGAACCCAGCCTATGCAACTTAGGGATTTATCGAAAGCCTGTCTCAAAACAAAACATTTAAAAAGTGTGGGGGACACAGCTCAGTGTGAAGGCCTTGGGTTCACTCCCCAGTACCACAAAGAATAAAAACAGTATTCTCCCACCTGTCACAGCTTTGAGCCACCAAGTCTGGCATCATGGAGCTGGGGCCTGGCCAGGCACCCTGGGGGAGACCCTCCTGCTTCTCCCACACTTGGTGGAGCTGATGGGACCAATGGCTCCTACTTTCTCCACGCCACCATCTCTCAGCTTCTCCTCTGTCCCCTACAGTTCGACTCTGGAGCTAAGTCCCAGGCTGTGGGGCCCGGATCTGACATGGGGACCCTCCTGCTCACACCCTGCCTGAAGAGCTACTAGTGCACACAGGGCTGTCCAGTGCCCACGGTCTCCTGTCACTTGGCAAGGTGAGGACCTGACTGAGAGCAGGAGGTCACTGTCCCCACAGCAGGGCGCAGGCCAGGCCCCATCCGGACACACGTCTCACGTGGAGATCACCTTGTTGTGCCCCTCCCAGATCTGTGCTGCTCTCTTGAAAAAGGACAGCACCCACCTGAAAAGACAGAGCTGGCAAGGCCAGGCAGGACAGCTGAGCACCGTCAGTAGGCGGGACCTGTGGGAATCCCTGTCCCTGGTATGAGGCTGGTCCAGTTCCTCTCCCTCCCAGCTCCTTCCGACTCTGCTTCCTGGCCGCCATGGGGGGAGCAGCTCCCTTCTGCCAGGCCCCTGACCATGCCAGGACTGAGACTTCTGGAGCATGAGCCAAATACACCCCTCAAGCTTCAATGCTGGGCTTGAGTCTCAGCAGACCAGGCCAGAACCTCAACAAAGCCCACAGCACCCCAAGCCGGAACTGCGGACTCAGTCTGCACTGAACATCAGGGGTTCCTTCAGGGACCCTGGTGCTCACTGTCCAGTGTCCATTGAGTCTGGGACAGCAGCAACCACAGTGGCCTATGTCCACCGGCTCCTGCCCACACCAGCCAGGCCCAGAGGCTCCACCATCACCACCTGGCAAATGCCCTGTTAGGGATCCACTGCCAACCTCCACAACCCCAGGGAGGGTGAGCAAGGGCTCAGACTGGGAGCCACACACTATGGCACTGGGCCTGAAGTCACACCCGACACAGGACGCCTCCCTGCCCCCAAGGGCCCCGTGACCTGAGCAGGGGAGAAGCCCAGGTGCAGCGCCCAGAGGGCTAATGCTGGTCTTGGCCCAGCACCCTCCTGGCCTCTCTGAGCTGAGTGGGAGTCAGCACCATCATCTGCCCCGAGACCGAGGTACAGCTCATGCAAGACACTGTGCCCACAAATGGGCCCTGTGGTCTCTGCCCCAGGACAAGCCTGGGCCAGAGAAGCAGCAGCAGTGCTGGGGGTGGCCTGGCACCTCAGGGACCATGGTGAGGGTGAGGCTGGCCCTGGGGGGTGAGCAGATGGCTCTTATGAGACAAGAGAGCACCCCGTCTCTGGTGCCAAGGGCGTGGTGCTGTGACTCCATCTCCTGTGTGGTGGACAGTGGTCAAGTCCTGCAGGAATGGGGCCCCAGCAGGCCATGCGGGCAGAGTTGGCCAGCACCTCGGGAGGGTTGGAGAGGGGACAGCGGCCCCAGAGCGGGGGGCAGAGCGGTGCAGAAATGGGAGGGGGATGGCCGCAGGCACACAGGGTAGAATCTTCTCAGAGGAAGGCCTGCGCTGAGCCTGGGCATGGGGCCCCAGGCAGGGAAAGGGTGCGCCCACCCCTCAGGGTCACCGCTGCGCTTTGCTTCAGGAGACCAATGGTGACACTGGGTCCACAGCTGCCCTGCCCACTCCCACTGCACCCCGTTCATGGCCAGTGGACCACTCCACACTCACAGGAATGTGGTCACACACCCAGGCCTAGAGACGCAGAAGGGGAGGCAGTAACACCTGGGAGCTGCGCCCCTGCCTGGTGTGCCCTCCCCATGAATTGCCACCACACGACCTTTGCACACACAAGCACACATCCTGGAGACTTGAGCTGGGGGCCGATACTGCCCAGTGGGCACAGCACCCTCATGGCTGGGCCAGGACCTGTGCTTCTCACCCAACCCTGGGAAAGCTTGCCATGGTGACAGTGTGTCCCCTTGTCACGTGCTCGGTGCCCTCCTGCTCTACCACCAGGGCCCTCGCAGGAGGAGGGAAACGGTCACTGGAGCCCAGGTCTTTAGCACCAACACAAATCCTGGGCTAGGGACTAGAGCCCAGCCTCGCGCCCCCGTCTCCTCTGCCCTGCTCAGTGGCCCAAGCCTGAGCAGCCCTGGCCCCACCCAGGATGCCCACCAACCACACCTGGCAGATCGTGGCATCCACCTAACTGCATGTCCTCACTGGACACTGTGAAGCACCAAGTGTATATGATCCATGGGGCCCCGCAGAGCCCCCTAAAGTCTACTTCTGCTTGAGGACCCAGGACAAGGGGCCTTCTCTCTGGTGGCCTGGAGGGAAGTGCAGCCAACAGCAGGGTCCATGGGGAGTGGCCACACACCACCGCACACCAGGAAGCCAGTTAGAAGCAGCCACACAGAAACATGCCCAGTGTGGCTCCAGAGCCACGCAGGAAGGCAGGGCACAGGAGGCCCCGCACTGGGGTCCCCACCCCTGCAGTGAAGCTCCCACACCAGGGGTTCCCAGCAGACCTGAAATCTGAAGCCACAGCTGAGTTGCAGGGAGGGACTAAGGATAGGCTGGACGGGGAGAGCAAGAGGAGGAAGGGGCAGAGGGCAAAGTGGGGTGGGCATCTCCCTCCTCCCCACTCCCTGAGCTGGGCTGAGAACCAAGCATGGACCACAACTTCCCCCAAGGGCAAGAGAATAACCAACCTCACCCCTCACCCCTCACCAGAAAGGTCAAGGCTGCAGAACAGAGGCCAGCCCCTTGGCCAGTCCCTCCTGGGTTCCCAGAACCACCAGATCCAATGCACCCTCCTCCTGAGATGGGGTCACCATGACCCCCGGGAGATGCCTGGCACAGCACAGATGTGCCTGGCCAGGGTGGTTACCGTCGCAAGGACACCCCAAAGACCATGCCCCTAGTACCTGAGAACTGTTGGGAAGAGGCTCCCTCCTAGGCCTCCCAGACTTGGGGTGCAGCCCACAGACTGGCCACAGTGCTAATGAAAAACCCAACCCTGACCTGACCCCAAATGAACATGGGGCGTGGCGTGAGAATGAGGGCCCTGTCCGCTCCCCACTCCTGCACCCTGCCTTGCCCCTGCCCTCACCCCCTGCCTCGGCCTCCCCAAGGGACACCCAGTTCCCATGGCCCAAGTTGCCCCACCTTCGGCTGGACCTCCAGGGCTGGTGGGCAGCTCCCAGCCATAATGTCTGCAGACAGCACCCAGAAAGCAGCCCTCGCCATCCTCCTGGCCCACAGCCACCTTTCCAAGGGGCAGAGGCTGCCGGCCACCAGGCCTTGGGGTGGAAAGGCAGCACCAGTGCCCCAGCTACACTGCCCCATGCCTGGTCCAGCCACTCCACCCCACACAGCTGCTAGACGCCCAAGGTCTAAACCTGCCTGTCGGGACAGGAACCCGAAAGCAAACTCAGGGCTCGGCCAGGTGGGAGGAAGCCAGGCAGGGGCCACGGGGCCTCCACAGTGGGCCCAGAGCCCCTCTCCTCAGCCTTGGCAGCCCCCAGCTCAAACTTGGACAGAATGAAGGAAGGGGGTGGCTCTGGGGCCTGACACCCTTCAACTCTGTGTCTCCCACTTCCAGGTTAGCTCCCTTTTGTCCTCACCTCAGTGACACTCAGCCCTCTGGATGGGGATGGTCTCGCCGTGTCTCCAGGGCCCTCCACCCTCCTGCCAACCCAGCACTTGGGGAACCTGCAAGGGCCACCAAGAGCCACAGCGGCCACCCCGCCCACCCACCTTGCCTCCTCCTGTCCTCCCTTCATGTTCCTGAGGACAGCTGCAGGGGCAGCCGGGGGGGGGGGAGCAGCAGGCCAGCAAGCCACCCCCCACAGGGCTCCCAGGCCAGCGGGGCCCCACACTGACCCCAGGGGAAACTGTTTCCAAGGGGAGAGCCCACCCTGGTGAGCAGGCTGTGCACACGTGCCCCCCCCCCACACACACCCTCCGTCTGCCGGGAACATCTGTGTGTCCCGACAAATCACCGGAGCAGGACGCTGAGTGACAGATTCTCGGCACGCATGGCAGCGGCGCCTGCTGCGGGTTGGACGCAGGTCACAGCCCCACAGCCGCTTGGTCCCGACCCTCCCCGCTGCCCACCGGTCCTGGTGCTGTCGGAGCAGCAGCCCGTCTGAGGCTCTGCGGGCAGCCGTGATGTCAAACTTCGCCCCGGAGAGGCTTCCTGAATAGCTGGAGGCGCCCGGTCGCCAGCAGCGCACAGCGCAGCCCTTTCCTCCAACCTGGACCCTGCGATCCACCCGGGGCCGGTGCTGTGCCTGGCTCAGCAGCACCCACCTCAGGCACCCGGCACTGGCACCGGCACCGGCGCTGAAGGACATCCGCAGCCCCTGGCAAAACAACTTTGTGTGGGCCGAGTTCCCGGCTCTGCCCTGTGATCCCCGCAGCGCAGCTCGGTGCAGAAAGGTGAGGAGAGCAGGAGCTATTTTTAGGAGAGCAGAGTCAGCCTCAGCTTACCTCGGATGCTGCGGGCAGGCCAGGCGGAGGCCGGAGGCCGGGAGAGGACTGCGACGCTG